GTGTTTTATATGAAAGTTTATTGGTAGTGTGCTTCTGTCATCACTAAGCTACTGATTTTCTGTTGCATCTGTTTGAACTACTGGCTGGTTTAATCTCCGATATGATAGAGGAAATAACTGGAAATAGGTTCCTGTTGTTCAGGCTGTAACACACAATTTGTGTATCTTGTGTACGTTGTCTTTAACTGGGGCCCCTTCTTACGTGAAATGAGAATTACTCTATTTTCAGAAGAAAAAAAGGAAAATTGCTTCATGAAACGATGACTGTCAGGAAGTGTTGGGTCTGTTCTAGTTATGCCAGTCAGGTAAACTGTGAGCATGCAGGAGGTGGGAAAGGGGATATGGCTTACAGCATACTCTTCCAACTGCTGCAATCAAAACTGTTGGGCCCATCTGCTTGAGAAGATTAGAGTGATCTAGGATGAAGCATGTAATCACTGCCTCAAATACTGGAAACTACACAGCAAGATTTCAGGATCTGAGTTACTCTATTTCAGTGATGGGTGCCATTAGGAAAACTTGGAGAAGTGAAGGAATTCTCCATCTAGAATAAAGTTTGGAGGGAGAGAGATAAAAAGGATGTAGATATTGATTGTACATTTCAAATGAAAGACTCTCCAATCTGGACTTCCCCTCGTCTCTTCCCCTTCCCTGCCATAAAAGAATGATGATAAAAAAATTTAAAAAGGAAACGACTGAAAAACTGTGGAGGGAAAGTAGGCGAGGCTTGCCTTAGGTTATGTCAGATGCCACTTGCTCAAAATTTCACCCCAGAAGGCGGCTGCTTTTCCTGTCCTCTTACCAGGTCACTGGTGAACAAGTGATAGCTGCAAGTGCAGTGGCAATAAAGACACCCCACCACCCACAGAGCATAGCAGCATGTTCTTTTTTTAATCTTGTTGTTTTGGATGAGAATGTTTGTGTATGGTTCAATACAAATTTTTATGGAAGGGTTTTAAATAAAAGATGGGAAAAGCTCAGAGCATATACTGCAGGTTATGTCTGAACTGGAACAGGTGAAAGCTGTTTTCATCTTTACATAACTGTTCCTGCATTTTTAGAGGCCCCTGCGTAGACAGTCTCATTCCTCTCTGCAGCAGAGGCGGATCCAACACTTTCCTAGGGGAGACCGTTAGCAAAGTGCAAAGAGTGGAAAGTCGGGCAGATGGGAAGAATCTGGAGAACCCTCATGAAGCAAAGCTGGTGTGGGTGACAACCCTGGTAAGTAACATACTTCCCTTCCTTGCACCTCTTTAGTTCTATGAAGCCAGGTGCGTTTAAGAACCCCCTCTTTTTTAGGACAAAATTCCACCTCTTTGACCTTCAACAGTATCCAAAGGAGTGAAGGGGTGTTTGCTCTGCCAGCATGAATACAGGGATTGTTTCACCCATGAAAGACCAAAAAGGATTTGGTTCCCTCTTGACCTGTTTCACAGTGTAGGTGCTTTGTGAGGTGCTAGGGATCTAGCAGCTAACCTGAGGAGGGAAAACTTACCTATAAAAACGAAAGATTGCTGGTGAGGGGCAGGACAGGTAGAGCATCTGTGTTGTTAATGAAGCCAAAGTAGAGATGATGAGCTGCTGTTCAGGTACACTGTCAGTAAAACTGAAGGTAGTGTGTCAGTGACTACTCTGTACATGGCTTGCTGAACATGAAGCATTTATTTGAGCAATACATTAACAAGTGGCAAAGTTATACACTAAATTTATGTAGAAATACTGCCCACCAGCACATCAGTCAACTGAATCAGTGCAAGGACTCTGTCCAAATAATGACTAACAGCTACAGCATACCATGCACTAAAACAAACTTGCTTCCTGCAACCTTTCTGAAGTCTTGCTTGAAGACCCTGATTTTACATACACAAACAGTTAAAAATAATTAGCAGTGTTTCATTAATTACCTGCCCACAGTTGTAGGCTACTAAAGAGCTTTCAATCTGCAACTTAAACTGGACAGTGGTTTTTCCTTCAAGTTAAAGAATTAAAGTGCATAGCAGTAGCTGTGTTTAACTGCTCAGTGGGAGGAGCTCACCAACATGTAGGTGTTCCATTTTCTGCACAAAAATAGTTCTCTGTGAAGACTTTGAGCACTCCACCACCAGTACATCAACTGACATAGAACGTGTGGACCACTTCTGATGCAGACACGTATTGGATTTGCCTTAACCTACAAATTAAGGAAGCTTCTTATGCATATGGGGAGCTATGATTCATATGACTGTTTACATATATACAAAATAAATTTAACTGTTGTTATTAGGGACTCAGGCTCACCTGAGGAGTCTGTAGAACTCGTTCAACTTCCAGTGAAGCCTGAAATTCAGTCACACCGCTAGACAAATATCAGGGCTATTATTTTCTTTTTAGCAAAAAAGTAGGTTAGTAACTGTACAGTAGGTAAAAAGCAGTCTTTAAAAAAAATACAGAAATTACACAAAAGGCTGTAGTAAAGTGCCTAGCAAGAATATAAAGAACAGGAGAATCAGTACAACCAGACAAACAATATTGCATCCTTGCTCCCCTTACCTCTTCACATATTCTCCTGCATGTACTGTAACAGCATTGATGCTCAATGACAATATGTCAAAAAGGCAATTTTCACTTCACTATATAAAGCATTAGAGAGCTTAAAAGCCAAGAATATAGTCATGTCAGAAATTATACTCTGGAGCATGATCAGCTCACTTTTGTCCATACTCTATGCAGTGAGAACTGACAGGAACCTTCAACAACCTGCTGACAGTGCTCTTCACAGAGGCACAGCTCATACCCATCCTGAGAGCAGCTGTGGCTACAGCCTCTGGCTCAGATCTGCTGAACATTTACCTCTGGGCTACCATCATTTCTCCTTCTCCTCCCTTCATCAGCATGTGTTTCCCATGCCTCCATCAGTTTTCTGCTACTCTGGCTACATCAAAGCTGCAGATTGTTTAGGGCTATTGTGCTTTCTAAGTGTGACTTGAGAGACATGGAGAAGCTAGGCATTTCTCCATCCCATATCCCTATCCCTGTCCTTTCTCTGCATTGATCACCAGCCTTACTGAGAGCTCTGAGAGTCCTGGATGCTGTCAGGGATGCTGACATTTGTATTGAGAGTTCTATTTCCGTTGTGGGTTTTGCTGGGGAAGAAATCTGTACTTTGTCTTTATGTAAAAATATGCAGCAATTAACACTAAAGCTCAATATCAACTTTTTACTTGTCATTTTTCAAATCCTTGCTCCATGACAAACCACCCTGTGACTAACTGCGTAAAAAACACGACTATACAGATAGAGAACTTGCAGTGGTTAAAAATATATTTTCCCTCTCCCCCTTATCCCTTGACAAGTTAGCCTTTGAACAAACACCAACATGAGGTAAGCTGACAGAACAACACAGAATAAATAGCTGTGAAAAACTTTTGGTTGCTAGATGTCTGCAGGCATCATGTAAACTGTATGCTACGTTCATGCTAGTTTAAAAAAAGGTGTTCTACATCAAGGGATCCACACTCTGGCACTTCTGGTAAGAAACATGTTTTTAGACTGGTAAAATATTGAGATGAAAAAAAAAAGTAGTAGTAAAATAAATGCAATTTTCCTCACTCAAAGCCACATTTGTGCTCCAACTTCTATCACTTAGGTTGTAAACCCAGGAAAGACAAATTTTAAAGCTACCTGCCTGTGGAAGAGTTAGTAAGATTTTTGCTTTCAGATATCTGTCACTCAGTCCTGCTGCCAGTTTTCTAAACAAACAACTGGCATCTTTACACTGTGAACCAACCTGCTAAGTGACTCAGGTTTGGTAACACAAGTACTTTCTGTTTCAACTAAGCTTTAGTCTGAGAGGTTTGAACTTTTTTTGACTAGTCTTTTTATCTAGCCATCTAGAAAGCATAACTAAGTTCCTCCTAAAGTTGTTTTCATAACAACAATTTGCATTTAAATGTAAACACTGATACCATAAATGTAGTGTATAGAAAAGGCACAAGACAATTAGATTTGCGTTGCTGAAACTTCCTTGACCTTAAAGTTGATAATGCATCTTTTATATCCTGGCTGGTAAACTCCGCTCCTAAGAAAGCTGCTAGCTCCTAACTTAATTGAAGGGGGTTTCCTATGTGCAGCAGCTTGGCTTTGTGGTATTGCAATCAAACATCTGTTGTCCTGTAAATGCAAATATCACAGGTTAGAACAGTACATCTCCTTGATTGTACATAATATTTGTTAAGTTATGCAGTAAGAAAGGTAGTGTCTTAAAGAACAAGTGAAAAAAGGAATCTGAGACAACTACTGATTAATTCCAAAAAACTAGGATTTTGAAAGACACCGGCCCTCAGGAATACAGGTTGGTAAAAAGCCTTTTGGATCAAAGTTAAGTACTAACATTTGTTTCGTGAGGGGTTAACAGGTCCAAATGGGACAATAGAATCCCCATTTCATAGCACTGTCCTGTGTAGCTCCCATCAAAATCCCCAGCTGGCCAGCTTCATTTATGTGTTACTCATCTGAATGCTGGCTTTTTATCACTCCACTTATCAGTGACCCACTGTAGCATTCAATGTAACAAAGTTTTTTTTTTTTCCCCCCCTCTGCAACTTTTCAAACTATTGGTAGTGCAGAGCTGAGGGAAAATGGAGCTTTTGCAATAATGTGTTCCAAAAATAGTCACTTTGCTCTGGTCTCCTTATCTTCGAAAATTTCTTAAGCACTCAAAAGAAAATACAGTCCACCAAGCCACTAAACCTATTCCTAATCAACACTGCCTGTTTTCCCAATTCATAAAGCCAGTAGTGCAATAATTGCATTGGAAAGTCAGCTACTAATAGCAATTTGAATCAACAAGTGAATTTTCAAAACCAAGGCAAGAACATGGACTGATACATAAATAGGTCACATTTTTCTTGTGCTGAATATTGAAGTAAAACCAGCCATTGAATTTTTACAATAGTAAATTCAGACTTTTTTTTTTTTCATTTCCTAATACTCAGAATCATCCTTCACTGTTCAACAACAGTAATTTTAAGTTGAAACATTCTTTATATGGTTCAGAAGTAGTATGTTTAGTTTCATGTTTCAAGCAGTGACATGGAGACAACTAATCATCTGTCAGTCTGTTTTCTGAGCACATCCACACAGGAGCAGCTGGCCAACAGGGCTGATATTTGGAAGAATGCATCTTCCTTCCAATGACAGCTTTTTCTTGAACTGGAACAGAACATTAATCACAAAATACATTAGAATTGAAGAATACTTAAAAATTAAGCTATTGCAACAGGTTTCACCTTCTCAAAGCAGAAAGTGAACAACAGCTGAATGAAAATTCCCCACCGAAGAGGAATATGGTAAGACTGTTCACAGTTACATTATTAATCCACTTCAGGATGACAGTGATTAAAAACTGACTACATAGCAAGCCACTGTTTATAAAACAAAGCGAGCTATTTTTACAGTACTTCCAGGTACCAGCTTCATTAAAAAAATTCTCTGTTACATTAGTGCCACATCTGGCATGCTCAGTAATTAGCCCTCTGATTAACTATAAAGGATTACTGGATATTGAACATATCCTTAGCTGGGACAGAAGTTCAAATTACTAACACCCTGGCAGGGGCTGTGGGCTGTATTTTTCATGTCAAGGATGAAATTAGTTGGTTTTGTTATTGTGACTTCAGCATCTTTAATAAAGTATTTTATTCACTCCCTAGGAACAAATAATAAACTCAAATACTGGCAATAAAGTAATGAAGTTAAATGCAAAATAGCTAAAAAAAGAATATGTAAAAATGTTTTTATATATGGGCTCTTATTCTAGCAACTCTATGTCAGCCATAATATATACACACACATACACACAGAGTAATTAGTTTTTTTGTTACACCTCTAGAAACTCTCTTAAGTGGCACATAGAAATATCTCAGACAGAGCTAAGGGTACAATCAAACTTGCACTTACATTCATGCCAGAGAAATTACCAGTCCTTAGCTACTGCCCTTTAAAGATGTGCATGCATTTGTCTGAGGCAAAACTGACTTCCAGGAGCCTCTTCATGTAGCTTTACACTTACTCTTCGGAACATAACCTCCTCTGAAGGTGGTCCCTCTTTAAAAAGCTGCACCTCAAAATGGATGCTCACAAAAAGAAGAAACAAAAACCCCTCAACCAAACCTCCCAAAACCCAGGGGGTGGGGTAATCAGATTGCAAACACAAATCTAATTGTAAAAGAAAAAAACCCAAACAAAAAAGAGCATGAGATGTTTATCAAGCTAAACAGCTTGAAAAGAACACTTTCAGCATCTTGAGAACAATCACAGACTGTTTGACATTCAGAATAATCTGAATGACAAAGTTCCAATAAAATGTACACGCTGTTCAAAGAAAGATTAGAGTTTAAACATTACTACTTCAGTAAATAAAGCATTAGGACTTTTGAAAGTAGACCTCCAACGTGACAAAACTAGTTGCAATTAATGAGATTTCTGTAACATCCAAAAATCTGTTTCTTTAAAGCCTGTCTCCACTATTTTACTCTTGAGTAGTGATGACATGTAAGACATTAACTGAAGTTGAATAATTTATTCTTTTCCAGAAGCTATTGTTTTGTTGAAACAACCGATGGATTAAACAGGGCAGAAGCATGTCACTTTACATTTTTAATGATGGGACAGAAATGAGATTTTTAGATTCTATTAAAAAAAAACCTACGCAGAGTAGTCAAAATTGCAGATACCAGCTGAGTTTCATTCACTCCTCTCTTTAACTCCTTTCATTTGACACCCACATTTTCAACACTAACACTTCACACCATCACCAAATCTGTAGATGTACCTATATCTGGAACCATCTGTGTCTTCATTCACAACTTAACACAAAACCAGAATGTAATGGTCAAGAATCTTCTAGTTTCTCTGATGAATCCAACTGAGCTTCTGGGACCTTTTTGGTACAAGCTACAGGCTACCTGTTGTATTTGCACACCTAGCACTTTTATAATTTGCCTTGACAGTGCACTACCATGCTTGATGGGCCTAGTAAGAATCGCTGCAGTTCTCTGATGGCTTTCCATGCCTTCCACTTCCTCCAGGAGTGACCAAGGACGGCCGTGACCACATGTCCAGAAGTCACGACACACCTCCAGGAGTGACCAAGGACGGCCGTGACCACTTGTGTGTGTCGTGACTTCTGGACAAGTGAAGGACATCCACTTGAAATACTTTTTCAGGATGACTGAAAGGGTGCTTCCAAGAGCAGAGATGGAAATGACCTCGCTGGAATGACTCCTCCAATGTTGTTGGACAATAGTAAATTATTTGGTATGCTGAAATTCTTAGGGTTGGAGTCAAATTTTTTATCCAGCTTTAAATATGAAATAGTTGATTTCCATAAGCTTTTGTGGGGTTAGAAATCTTCAAATACTAAAGTGAATATCGTGATCCAGTACTTAAAGGGGGCCTATTAGAAAGATGGGGACAGACTTTTTAGAAGGGCCTGTAGCGACAGGACAAGGGGTAATGGTTTTAAATTAAAAGGGGGCAAATTTAGCCTAGATAGAAGGAAGAAATTTTTCCCAATGAGGGTGGTAAAACACTGGCAGAGGTTGCCCAGAGAGGTGATAGGTGCCCCATCCCTGGAAACATCCAAGGTCAGGTTGGACGGGGCTCTGAGCAACCTGATCTAGTTGAAGATCACAGAATCACAGAATGGTAGGGGTTGGAAGGGACCTCTGAAGATCATCTGGTCCAACCCCGCCTGCCAAGCCAGGATCACCCAGGGCAGGTTGCACAGGAACGTGTCCAGTCGGGTTTTGAAGGTCTCCAGAGAAGGAGACTCCACAACCTCTCTGGGCAGCCTGTGCCAGTGCTCCGTCACTCTCACAGTAAGGAAGTTTTTCCTCCTGTTGAGGTGGAACTTCCTGTGCTGCAGTTTGTGCCCATTGCCCTTTATCCTACCACTGGGCACTACTGAAAAGAGACTAGCTCCATCCTCCTGACAGCCACCCTTCAGATATTTATAGACATTGATAAGGTCCTCTCTCAGCCTTTCCTCATACGAGAGATGTCCCTGCACATTGCTGGGGGATTGGACTAGACAACCTTAAAAGGTCCCTTCCAACCTGAAGATTCTGTATCAGTTATGTTCATTCCTCCAACCCAATTATTATTAAGGTGTCCTCCTCATATGTATATAATAGAATTTACTAGCTGCTTCTCAAACCTGTGTTGAGAAGTCCATATTGCAAGATATCAATGCAAGAAATAAATGAAAAAAATCTGAGCTGTTTTTGACAATAGGTGACAATGCTCAGGAAGTCATATGGACACCTTTTGTCTTCAGTAGGCAGCACTTTTAAAATCACTGAACAAGATGCTCAGTACCTGGCATAGAAGAACAAGCTGCTAATAGTTCTACATATTTTTTGTTCATTATCTGATAGACCTTTACCTGCTTTAATAGACCAAGCTTTGCATTCAGTGTTAAGAACTAACTTCATTTTCAAACATAGTTTTACAAAGATCTGCTGGACAGCAGATCACAATTTCATTCTCTTTCTAAAGAAAGGGAATAATAATAGTAATATTTTTGAATACTACCTAAAAGCAATGGGTATAAAGGTTAAACAATACTTTGCAAACATGACTCATCAAGAAATCAGGGGTTTAGTTTAAAACTATGAATTCACGTGCTACTACCTCATAGTAAAAAAAACATTAAAGAAAACAGATAGGAATTGCTTTAGTAATTTTCTTTTGTGCATTCTTCAAGTTGTAAGGAATCACGGAATAGCATATTAAGTACACAGAATATTAACATACCTTTCTTTATATATTCAGATGTTTCTTTTATGGGAAACTAGGTTTCATTTTCCATGGTTAATGCAGGATTGCTCATACCTTTAAAGACAAAAAACTGTATTTCCATGGGAAAAGGTTTCATGCTTCTTACAGCAAATAATACAGCCTTTAATTATCAATCATCATAATGTCATTCCACTATTACCAAGTCTATTCCTGTCCTGTGTCCATTACATGGCTTTTCACTAGTTGCAACAAGGTATCACATTCTGATATAAGCAATTCTGTTCCCAAAAGAATTATCAGGCTCAGCCAAAAAGATAATTAGCACCTATTAGTGTTAGTGTTCTCAGTATCTCTTGGTCAGACTGAGCTGCTGTGCCCTTTGCAATTAGATACATGGAACCTCCTACAAACATGCATTTAAAATAAGCTTCATGAATGCTCCTTCATGCACACAAAAACCTAGTAAACCTTGGTAATTTTTGCTCTGTATCCTCCAGAACTAGTTTACTACAAAATGAATCATTGCAGCATGAATGAATTCCTTACCAACTTTGTCCTTTTCAGCCTTTCCACTTGTTTCTGACCAAGACAGTGTATCTGTAAGAAGGTGGCTCTGGGAGTCACGCAACGGCTTTGCAGGAAACAGGTGGTTCTCACTGTAATGCCAATAAAAAGAACATTGTAGTAAATTGCAGTCATTTTTCATCATCTTACCACACATTACAAACAGTTTGTTGTACGTAGTATTTTCCCTACCTTACCTCGCTGCTTTTCTGATGAGTCGCTACACTTTTATCATTACATACATTACACCGTAGCTGTCACAGACGCAAGCACAATCTAAAAAGCAACTCACTAGCACAAAACAGGGAAACATTCAGATTTTTAATTTGGCAGATATTATGTATTAATACATGTGCTTCAGTTCCAAATACATTCTAATCATATTCACTCCCATTATAACCATCCCAACATGATAAATAGTGGAGAGAAGCCTAATATAAGCTATGGACTGGGATAAGATTTAAAACATGAATAAACAGATAGCTGAAATGTATTTATGAATAAAAGATTGTCAATACAATTCCATTATCATTTCTTAGTCACATATTCAAGTCTACTATACTTACCACACACTTCGTTACATAAATGTCGCTAAAGAGTTAAAATACGAAATACTAATCTATTATATTTATTTAGTTTAAGGAACATCTTCTGCATACTTTTCACACTTTAAAGATGTCATGGCTGTGAAGGATATGGATTAAGAAAATGTCTCCTATTATCAGCAGAAATAAAAACACCTGCATTTAATACACAGCTGCTTGTGCTTCAGCACAAGTGCCAAGATCTGGGATTCCCTTACGCAAAGCATCTTTTCACCGATACAAAGCAGCAGGCCTCCCCCAAAAGCCTCACAAGGCTGTATCACAGGCAGACCTAACGAACTGTCTCATATGTATGCAGAACAGAATGCTACGGATTCTGTTTAGGCAGGTGTGGAAAATTCAGGTCCTGGGATGCTACTGAACTGAGACAAACCTGTTTCCATAAATTTAATTATAATTGTGAGGATTAGCTGAATTACAATTTAGCTGTTTGAAATCTGACTCATATTTATTACTAGGATACTCTTCATTTGCTTACCACTTTTAAGTATCTTGTACATGGTTCTATGTATATGTGCACAGGAAAAAAGTCAAATATCAACTATTCGAAATGAGTAACAAAAAGCAGATTACTTTTTGGATGTTGAATTAAGACCACCAGGTGTGGAAGCTTGCTCAGGATCCTGATTAACAAGGCAAGTTGGGAAGGAGCAACCATCTCCTAGACTGAAAAATTCAGAATTAGTCTCATACATACAAAAAACCCCTCAAACTTCAAAGAACTGTTTTTTTGAAAGTGAGTATTACTGTATCTTATTTAAAAAAAACTAACCAACCCCCCCAACCCTGTGGATCCTTATTATTGAACAGTTTCGACAAATGAAGCATTGCAAATTGTGCATACCTTGAAAATACAGGCACCAACCAGTACTTCTTCTCATCACCAAACACCTCCCTTAGGTTTTTGCTGAAGCCCAAGCTAAAGCCATTCTTGTCTGTTCTATGACGAAATATGGGAGCTCTGAATACCTCTTAAAAGAAAAAAAATCCATTAGATTTCTTCGCAAGATAGCACGTTTTGAGTTTCACAGTGGTATTTAGGCAATCACACTGATATCATCATCCAAGAGGAAAGGCCGTACCACCCAAATGACTGGGAAAGCCAGTCCACTCATGAAAGCCAAAGTCGGTGCTATGCAGTCACTGTGTGCTGAGGATCACAGAATCACTAAGGTTGGAAAGGA